CCTACATGTACTCATGTACTCACGATCGAATCTTTAATGTTTGTCCGGTCTGCTGTTGCCGTTTGAATATTTTGTGTTTACTCTCAGACTAACAAAGACCTTTTAATCCGTTGTAGGCGATTCGTCATCGTCAACTCAAGGTACTTTTTCGTTTACGGTTTATTTGTCTAGATAAAAGATGAGGGCCTGCATACCAATCTCAGTTAATTAAGCGCCATGTAGTGTTTTAATTCACCGTTAATCGTAGCCGACCCACTCTAATTCAACATTAAGCGTTATCGGTATATTTATCGTGAAGCGTTATTGGTGGTTTTTACTCTACGTAGCGCGTTATTGTCATCTAGAATCCATTGTTCAGCGTTCATGGACAATTCTTCATTACGCATAGACATTCATAGTCAAACGTCAGATAGCCCCTGGAGCGTCCGTTTGTCTTCATTTCCGCACTCATGAAAGACATCTCATGAATGCAATGGAACAGCCCAGCTCGTTCCCAGAACCTGTACAAAATCGTAATCAAAGCATACCATGCTGCGCTGGGCACGAGACTGCCTCGCGACCAGTGATATCGAGGATGGCGGGAACAGCCCATTATATATTAATTGGTTTGGCTATGTTAACATATGGGAATTATGTCAGAACAAAGTGGTCAAAAGTCATGATATTAAACCTGAGTCTCAGACCTTGAAAAACACACATAAGCAGGAGCAGTCCAACCTCTAAAGTGCCCATTTAGACCAAATGAAAAACAAATCCTATACACCGAAAGCATGCGTGAATTCTGTCCGAACATTGAGACGTGACCCTTGACCTCTCAGGACACCTGATGACCGTATGAAAACCTATATCTTCTTCAGGGAACCAAACGCACACACGTGGCTGTACGTCTGGGTTTTTTTTTTCAACAAAATAAAACTACTACAACCCTTACTTATATTATCCAGCTCCTAAACAACAGCATTTCCCAAGAAAAGACGTCGACTTCAGAATCTTTACAGTTGGTTTCAGATACCATAGATTAAAACTGGGCCCTCTGTGCAAGTGTCTGATACTGACCTTAGCCCTGAAGAGTGTAACAAATATGGTGATTTTGGGGGTGAAAGTTGATTTTGGCTTCACACTCGAACCTTACTTTCGGGTATTTATGGGCGCCAAGTGTAATCCGCCCATCTGACCTAGATTTAGTGCTGTAACGTCCTGTGAGTCGATTTTCAACATCTCGCGGTGCCGTGGGCGACTACATAAATTTAGTACTAGATTGTCTTTATAATGTACTCGGGTATAGACAAGGCTTATATCTTTCTGCCAGAATTAGTCATTTCAGCTGGCTTTTTGCAATGGGATTATCCTACATGAAAATTCCCAATTTTGTGCATTAATTTTGGAGTGAAAAAAATTTTCCTGAAAACTTTACTAAATTAAAGAGGTTGAAGAAACCTAGTCTTCAATACTAGACTGTTTTGTAGGCTAAAAAAATAGTAGAGGAATGTAGCTTTCCAGGGGTATTGGCCGGCCATAGAGGGTCCAATTTGCCTGCACAGAGCAGATTGGACCCTCTATAGTCGGCCAATTTTCCTGGCCAGCTACATTCTTTTAGGCCGAGTTCTACTGTTTCTTTAGCCTGCAAAGAAGTCTGGTGGAGACTAGAAGAAACCAAACTCCGTTGGTCTTGTAGCTTAAGAGATATCATTTCATCCAATATACAGTTATTTTCCTTGCAAATTATTCCCCGGCAGAGACCGTTGCTAGACTTCAAGGTGTGCAGCTTCGAATAGAAAAGCCAACTTATTATTGACTTGGGCAAAGTGTTGGCGTGTTGGTATAGTTTTAGGTACAGGAACGGATCGGTAAACAGTTGCCCTCCTCATGCCTTTTACTCATTTCTTATTTTTCAGGGTGTCATTTTCCATTTAGGTACAATGGAAAAACCTACTATTCCTGTACCACCGCCGGCCATAACCGTCCCTGGTGTGCTTTAACCGCGGTCTACGACCGGAACAAATGGAAAAACTGTGACGCAAGTAAGCTCATGATCACGATGAAATATTTCCTTGTCTTCAAAATATGCCTTCAAAATGGTTATTGTTCGGTGTGGGGGGTGGCCAGAACGACGCAGACAGTATATGTTTTTCATCCCACCTGTTTGTCCTGCATGTACTTCTGTACTCACCACCGTACGTTAACCGTAACGTCAAGGACCTTCCCCCATGCAGACCCTCATAAATGTTGGCAAATATTTATACAATCTTTGCATGACTTTAAGCAAGCGTAAACTGCCTAACAGTTGGTGTCAAGAAGTCTGTATTGTTGAGATAGAAGCTTTAGAAAACGCCCGTATGCAGCCGAACAACGTTGGACGAACTTATCATTTGTGGTGGCGACGTGAGCAGGAGGGAGTGAGGGGGTAATATAGGGTTAATGGCCCGCTTTCCTTCGATGTATACGGTGTCATATTTCATGGTCGGTTCGAATAACTAACGAATAAACAACCGAGTCCGCGAAGTTTACAAGGTAGTTTATGAGCCAGTTATAGGAACTGTCAAAATCCAATGTCACATTTTAATCAATACATATAGACACTTTTTTGCTTCTTCAAAATGTATTTAAGCTTCATAGTCCAATTAAAATCGTTTTCTGTATTTGGGCCAACAAGTATAATTTGCTACAATGTTTTTCCAAAAGCTGTCTTGAACAATACTAGTGTGTAGGATTATTAAATTAGCCAATGTTTTAAATCATAATGTATTTTTAGCACCTCCACCTGTCAACCCCGTGTGTCTGGGTGACCTGACATGTCCAGCTAGACGTAAGTTGCTTTCGTTTTGATATTTGACTTCTCAGTGCACATTTACTTGGATATCATTGCAGGGATGTATTCCTTTAATCTACAAGCAGATCCTTTTTTGGTGGCTGCGAATTTAAGTATGGCTGCGAGTATCAAACTGGGCAGGCAGCGTCCATTGGGTAGCGAAATGGCAACAGTCTGGCCATTGGATACTGCCTGGCCAATTTGATTATGTCTATATCTATTGTGCTTTGTTTTCAAACAGCGGGTCAGTGTTCGGCGTGGGGCGATCCTCACTACATCACGTTTGACGGTCGCCGTCACGACTTCCAGGGAACGTGTAAGTACGTCCTGGTTCGTCACGCCGACTTCACGGTGGCAGCTCGTAACGTCCACCGCCGCGGGATGAGCCAGCGGGTGGCCTTCTGCGACCACGTGGAAGTAAACGTGCACAACTACGAGATACATCTCCGCAGCGGGGCGGGCAAGGAAGTACTGGTGAGTTGAAAACTACGTTACTCGATGTAACTGTGTGACCACACTGCCGTAGTAGGTAGGTCGCCGCACGGCCTTGGTGCAGTAGAATTTTTTTCTAGCAGGTTGTAACAGAACCAACCACCGACAAAGATCTAAGACAGCCGTTTCCGTAGCAAGCAAACAGAATGCAATGCGTTGAATCATCAGAGCTGAGAAAATCAATTTTGCTAACTTATATACTAGTACTCGATTGGCTCGTTTGTTTTATTCGTTCAATCATAGTATATACAGGATACCCTTGTCGTCATTATCAGTCACTGATAAAAGATAGTGGATGCTGCTGCTGCTGCTATTACTACAACAACAACAACAACAACAACAACAACTACTACTACTACTACTACTACGACTACTACTACTACTACTACTACTACTACTACTACTAGTAGTAGTACTAGTACTAGTACTACTTCTTCTACTACGTCTACTGCTTCGTCGGTATGGATGAAGAAAAAGGCATTAAAGCATGTTCGCGGATGTCTCATGATTTGAATTTTTCCCCAGGTGAACGGGTACCGCCGCAGCCTGCCTGTGTGCCTGGACCGGAAGGTCGCCATCTCCGTGAGCGGTAGATACGTGAAGATCCAGACGGACCAGTGTCTGTCTGTCCTGTACGACGGGAGACACAGCGTCATTATCAGGCTTCCTACGACGTACAAGGGCAAGGTACGGCCATATCATAGCAAGACCATTAATGTCCTCGATCATAGATTAGATTCTGTAAGACGGAAGCTATTTAGTAAGGGACATTTCTGTTGAACTGCCTTGATGTTTAGCTTAACATTGACTAACATTCTAGCTTCTTCACTTCCGTCTTATAGATTAGCGGAATGTGCGGAAACTATAACGGCCAATCGAACGACGATAACCTCATGCCGACAGGACAGGTCGCCTCTACCTCCCTTCTGTACGGCAACAGCTGGATCGCCCCTGATGATGACACGTATGTGATCATGTTTGAAACTTCCTTTAACCCTCTCCTCCTGCTACTGTGGCATCGAGTGGCGTAATGGTCAGATAGTGGGGTCGTGTGGCGTAGCGGCAGCGTTCTCGACTCTGAACCAGAGGCCCCTGGTTCGAGTCCTGACATGCCACCGATCTTGTGCGCTTGGGAAAGGCACTTTACACGACTTTCCTCACTTCGCTCAGGTGTAAATGAGTATTGTACTGTCCCTGTGTTGGTGGCGGCATTCATATAAGTTGAAAAAACTTGAGTGTGCCGTCACCACGTCTTGTGATTACATGTTTCGGAATATAAAAAGAAATAATGGTCAGAGCCTTCGCCTCGGAACCAAGAGGTTCCGGGTTTGATCCCCTAACATGACCGATGTTGTGCTTTTTTGGAAATGCACCATACACGACTTCCCTCCCTGTACGGTGGACTGACGCCCACCATGCCTTTCGGCTAAGTATTGCTGATAGTGTGTCCTGGTGAGGACACAGAGCGATTTAGTGCCAATATGCCAAGCTCTGCACATTTGCTACTAAGAACCGTACTTTTTTTATTTAGTGTCAAACTGATACTTTAGCAGGATGAAGGTAAAAACACAGCTAGTGTTCAGCCTACCATTGGCCCTCTTCAGGGAACCCGTTATCTTCTCTTGCACGTGACTTTATGGAGGATTGGCGTCAGTAATGGGTCAGAGGTGACCAGAAGTCTATACCACCCCCCGTCTGAGGATAATTTCGACATGATTTTAAGCCTTAGAATTGTTCTCACTGCCTGCCAAATTAGCAAGTACTACCGTTATTGCCAAAAGAGGCATGAAATATGATCTTGAATGTTTTGGACCCTGCAGTTTGACATTTTCAGGGATGTTTTCTGACAGGTGCCCCGATACACGACCTCAGGACAACTTTGACTCCAACGACATCACGGCTTCAGACAGACAGCTGTACGGGCGACCTGATAAGTGCGGCCTTCTTCAGCTACGAACTGGACCATTCGGGGTAAGTGCATTGGATCGTCTTAAGTTGTCACTAAAGGAAAATTTGGCAGATGTTAGAGGGGGTGTTTTTTTATTGAAACAACAAAGTACAAGACATGGTACAAGACACAGAGGTGGAAACTCTAGCCGAAGCTAATATTAATCACACCCCTGACATAGAATACAAATTACAAGTATGAAAATGACAAAACAACAAATGAGCGTTCGTATATACAAGACTAACGGCAATATAAATCATTAGGCAACTGTAAATCGTTGGGTATTAAGTATAAAGGTTTGAGTAAGAATCAGAATTTTTTTTTACTTCAAGACGTAAAAGGGGCGAACCCCTCAGTAAAAGATTAATACTAGCTTGGTTAGACAAGTTGCACAAGTCAAAAGTAGAGCCTACTAGGCTCTGTAGGTTGCTGAGAACATGTGCCGAGAAGGGCAACTCTATGCAAGTTGTGTACAGGGCAGTGAAAAAGGAAATGTACAATGTCTTCGAATCTAGACCCACAGGTACAGGCAGAACTAAGAACTAAATTACGTTGTACATACACAAAACCATGATTTATCCAGAACTATGGTAAGTCATGGTGCTGGATAGTCAAATAAGTCAAATCTACGTTCTTGGATACTATCCAGAACCTACCCCTAACCTACCCCTTACCCATTCAGGTATAAAGTATACTAGACTTGATAGGCACGATTTTGGATCCGATACAGTAAATGCTTACTTCATTGATACTATTTCGTAATACTATTTGGTAGGCCTCACTCCTGAGGTGTCGCCAAAACATTATTCGGTTATTTTGAATATTCTTCTTCTGTCGGCTGCTAGACGCAGCCGAGTTTTTTTCCAGTCCGTTCTATTTCCGGCAAGGTTGGCAATCTGGTTTAATTTGATTGAAGATAATCCTTGCAGTCTCTTTTGAATCAAAGATGTCCAAATGCGTCCTTTCCAGGCTTGTATCTCGGTGCTGAACCCGGCGACGTATTTCGGGTCCTGCCTGTTCGACATGGCTGCTGACCGCGGGGATGAGGACATGTTGTGTGAGAATCTGGAGGCGTACAGCGACGACTGCACAGCGAAGGGGGGGAAGCCCGGGAGGTGGAGGACTGCAAACCGCTGTCGTAAGTACATTTCGGCCCGCAAGCCCTTTTCCGTAGAGCGTAATCGGCCGTTTTAATTCTACGTACAGCGTAGACGGACCGCTCTAATATTTTTGCGTAGAGCGTATTCGCCGTTTTGATTCTACGTAATGCGTTGTGGGCCACTTGGAATTTATCGTAAAGCGTAATCGAGAGGTTTCCGAATTCAGCGTAGAGCGTTGTCGGGACCCCCCTTGCAGGCCCTTGACAGGGAAATAAGATTTGAGAATAGAGAAACTTTAGCTTTAAAGACAGCAACCGGGCTGTGCAATAAATGTAAATCAATCACAGCACAAAAAGCGCTATGAATCCTGCTTGAAATCTGCTTTAAGTTGACGGGTTTTCCTTATTTACATATTTATACACCTCATATACGTGTACGTTAAGATGGAAATTCCCTGATTTTTTAGTAGTAGGTGCAGTTAGATCTTTGTTATTCGGTTGAATTTTAACAGCTTAAAGGTGTCATAAATACTACTCAAAACATTGAATTGTGTCTAAAGTCACCATTAATATTGTCCTTTGTCCTTTTTGTTAATGTAATCGTCTTCCTCAGGTTGACAAAGTGAGTCTTGCCAGTGTTATCTTCATCATCTTTATTCTGTTTCTATTATTTCGCCTGGCCGTGCCCTGCGCACAGCCGCTGTGGCTATAAATGTAACGTTATTGGAATAAGATATCACAAAATACCAACGACACCCCAACGTCAAACCTATATATCAGTATTGTCTTCATCATTGAATCACTCATCTCATAATGTTTCTATCATGTTGCAGCGATGCCGTGCCCTGCTCACAGCCACTACAACCGCTGTGGCTCTGAACGTAACGTTATTAGGAAGGGGTACTAAAAATACTAACGACAACCCAAAGTCAATATCCTTATGATTGAATCGCTCTTTTATTCTGTTTCTATCATTTTGCAGCGATGCCGTGCCCTGCTCACAGCCACTACGACCCGTGCGGCTCTGCCTGCCCGCTGACATGTACGGAGCCCAACCCGCGGGCCTGCGTCAGGATATGTGTGGAGTCGTGTGTGTGTGACCAGGGCTACATCCTCAGCGGGTCCGTCTGTGTACCCAGAAGCAGCTGTGGGTGCTCCAGCAACGGGAACTATTACCAGGTTTGCTGGTCATCAACTTTTGTTTGTTTGTTTGTTTGTTTGTTATCTTGTTTGTTTGTTTGTTTGTTTGTTTGTTTGTTGGAGTCTTTGCACATTCATGGAATTCTCAAATCCACATACTGGATGCTTGCCATTGAGGTCATGAGGGAAGAAGCTAAGTATTTTTTTAAACAACTTAACTCCTTACGATTGATTTTATGCATTTGATTTCAGAAAAACGAAGTGTGGAGATCTGGGAACCAAATCTGTAAGTGTACCAACGGTAGGATCACCTGTGAGGCCGAACCAAGTGAGTTATTTTAATATTGCAACTGTCACTTCAAACAAAATTTGAAATATTTTCATTGTTATAAAAATTCGCTTACATATAGTTATAATTAGTTGCCTCTAAAACTCACATTATCAGACACATGACATGAATATTTTCTTTCCTTTTTCTAAAGGTGGAACCATACCTACTGAAATAGGAGGTAAGTTCTATTTTACATGCTGCATATTACCTTTGCACATAATTAAAGACTAAAAGTCATTTCTTATGACCATCGAATAAATCGTCGACTGAAACAGCAAACACAAAGATTGGGTGGACTGGGCCTTAATACTCGTATCTCGTTCCCAGGGTTATGTCAAGCGGTCGACCCTATTGGTCGGGGTTTCACCCCACCATCATTTTGTGAGGTCATTATTCACCACTTGTGAGGTTATGGCGTCACAACCAATATTAAGCGAGGGCTTCTGATCTGGTCGACGTCTTCTGACTATATGATAATGCCTGTTTTTTGTCCTCTCTTATTACCTACGGGGAAGGAAACATCCTTCCGCGGAAGGGTTTTGTGAGAGATTTAGCTTGTCATGTTCGCATCTGTTTCTCGCGTTTGGGTGGACGGATTTTTTTGGGACTCGGTGTATGTTTTGCTATTGGGCTGTAAATGATGCACATTCTTTTGTTTTTATTGTATATGTGTTTTCGGGCGTGAAAATGGTGCCTTTTGGTGGCCCCAGAACACCCCTTTGAGCGTGAAAATGGTCGCGACCGTTGACCTTTGGGGTACCGGTGTTTAAGCTATTCTCGAACTGGTCCACGTATATGACCCCTCGCAAAGAGGGGTGTCCGGTCTCGATAAATTCTTTGTTTGAACCCCTAGTCCTGCGGCGCGCAACAATTGTTGTTGTGCACATGCATCTTCTCTAACACATAAAATTTCAAAACCATCAACTATACATAACAAATCACATATAAAAATATACAATAAAAAGCCCGGAGGTATAAAATGTCAGATTTTACTTGTTATATATTTTTCGGAAATACTTATACATTGATACGCTTTCTGTTGTGAATATGCTCTTTTTTTATATATTTTATCTAGGTACGAGTTGGGACACGTGTCCAGGGTCCCTTTCTTTCGTCACCATCGGCTGGAGCGGCGTGTGGGGCGTGAACTCCCGCGGCGTGGTGTTCTACCGGGTCGGCACGGCCGGGAAGGAGGGTCACTTCGGGAAGGAGTGGAAGCAGATAGACGGGAACCTAGCCCAGATCAGTTCCGGCAAGGGCATCGTCTGGGGGGGTCAACTCAAGAGGCAAAAATATATGTGCGAACCGGTATGTTATGTCTCCAATACTACTCTCCAATCAGAGGTTGATGGTGGAAGATCGTTGCTTTTTATATATGGCCCGTTTTTTTGTCGCTACCACCATTGCGAAAAAAAGGGCCATATATAAAAAGCAAACGATCTTCCACCATCAACCTCTGCTTGGAGAGTAGCCAATACTGTCCTATTCTGTCAGACCTAGTCTTTTTGTTCTTATTCTGTCGGCTCCTAGTTGCAGTCGACTGTGCTTTTTTTTCAGTCCAGTCAGACTTATTAGTATATAAGTATAATAAACTTCATGAATCAAGCGTAAAACATAAGCCTTTTGCCTAATAGTTGAATATCAGTATCTTAAAGCCTATGAATCAAAGATAAACGTAACTTTTTTATCATATTTTCCATCTTGACCGCACAGAAATCCAGGCAATGTAATACATTTTGATGTAATCGCATCCTAAATCGGAGCTTCTCCGAGCTGAAAGCAGATGTCACACATTCACGACTTTGGCCTCTCAGAACTTTTAAGTTATAGCTATGGAGTTAAAACTCAATAGCTATTACTATGAGTCTCTTTAACTCGTAATGCCAGCATTGCGTAGAACCGAGATGAAAATGCAGTTCTTCATGATAGATATATAAAGGAATGCTTAGTTATTAGAAAAAATTCCGAAACTTGTGATTAGCCCACTCGATTTTAACACTTTATCAAAGACTTGTGCTATCCCATATTATTTGAATAATTATGATATAGATTTTGTTAGTTTTTTATTCGACATTAGGTCTTGTTCAACACATTTCATTGTTTGTTACTCTCTTTATGTAGTTTGCCATACATTGTACCATGTGCAATTGTCGTGCAATAAAGTTCTTCTTATTATTATTATGTACAGGCATCACGGATAAGGTATGGTACGGCAAGGTATGGAGGCTGGTGACAGGACAGCCGCTGAGGTCGGTGTGCGTCAGTTCCTCCAGCAACTTCGTCTGGGGCGTCAGCACGACTGGCACCGTCTGGAGAAGGACTGGGATAACAACCAGCAACCTCATTGGTAGGGAGGCTATCACGTGGTTTTGACGTTACACAGTGTCCGCCATGTTGGTGGGTTTACTGTTTGGCTACCAATTCTCTATTGGTTACGTTGTTAAGTACTTGGGAGAATGTTAAAGACTCCTCTCTAGGGCGTCAGCACGACTGGCACCGTCTGGAGGAGGACGGGGATAACAACCGGCAACCTCATTGGTAGGGAGGGTGTCACGTGATTGTGACGTAATTGAGTGTCCGCCATGTTGGTGGGTTAACCTTTATTACGGTGAAGTACCCGTTTGGTTTACCGATTATCTTTTGGTTATGAGGTAAGATTCTTGCAAATTCATTTATAAAAGTGCCGACACGATCGGTCGCCATCTTGGATCTATTCACCCCACCAACATGGCGGCCAATGGTGTCGGTATATTGAGGTTATTGACTCCTTATTCATCGGCTATTGCGTGATAGAATTTAGTCTAATGCTGATGTCACATTTCCTAACCGGGGCCCGGCCGGGCTGTTTCGATTAACGAAAATCAACAATTGATATCAATAATAAAACCAATAATAGTTCCCTTTTTTTCAACTTTTTGTGCTTTGTTGTCTTTTATACCATACTTTTCGTTCCATAAGACTGCCCGGCCGGGCCCCGATTTGGAAGTGTGACCTCAGCATAATGAACTGCCTTTCACTTACAGGGACGGGTTGGCAGCAGGTACCCGGCGGATCGGCCATACGAGGCGGCCTGTCGCACGTGTCGATCGGGTACTGTGGCGTGTGGGGAGTGACCTCTAGCGGCGTGATCTGGCACCGCAGCGGGACGTACGGCGGGAAGGGCTCGGCGGGAACAGGCTGGGTCCAAGTCACGGGGTATCAGCTGGTCAGCATCAGCGTGGGTTACAACGTGGTGTGGGGAGTGAGCACCATTGGACAGGTCTTCATCAGGATCGGTAAAAACTTAATCATATATATCTTCAATGGTAAAAGTGTGGTATTCTTTCTTTGACTTCTATAATGCATAACCGCAAATTCATTAGTAATATAAAAAATAATAACTTTATTGCACAACAGTTGTACATGGTACAAAGTATGGCAAAACTTATCTATAAACTTAACTATGGACTAAATTAAACTAACTAATACAGGAGTTTGTGGCTGATATAGGATGTGAATGAACTTTTACAATATTGGAGGAATTTCTTATGTCTAGACATTGTTTGATATACATTCCTATATCTACCATACATGAGTTATCACAGGTCATTATTATCTTAAATTTGCTACTTAAATCCATCGATGTAAATTCTGGTACATATAACGATAGTTTCGTATTTAATGAATTGCGTACATCAACATACTTAGGACATTTCATCAAAAAGTGATACTCATTCTCAACTAGTTCCCTGACAACATTCTCCAACGTTGTTGTTTTCCTGTAACACAAATATTGCAACATCTGATAGATATTACATAATGACAACATACGAAGGAACCCCTGACAACGTTTGATGGTAGCAGAAAGTGCAGTTTTGAGAATTGCATCAATGTTTTTTTTTCGCGTAGCACACATGTTGCAACAGCAGATAGATTCTCTATAGACCATACAAAACGTTAGACGTGTTATGTTATTTCCGTCCACTCAGGGATAATGGCCCAGACACCGCAGGGAACAGCCTGGCGATTGGTCGGAGGAAGCCTTACCCAGATCTACGTCAGTTCGTCGTCCAATCGCGTGTGGGGATGCGGGCTGAGTCATCACATCTACCTCCGTGTGGGAATCAGCTGGAGCTCCGGTCGTGAGGACGTTCCCGGTACGAATCGTTTATCAGATATTCTAGATTAAGAAGCTGTTCTTGAAAACGTCATCTCTCATAAAATGCCAATTAGTCTTTTTAAAACTGAACAAGAAAGCAGACATTTAAAACTTCCGAGTAGTATTTTGAATTTTGTGACCTGCAAGTTTGCCCCATTTTCTGTGTCCATGTGTTGTCAACCTATAGCTACTCTGTTCTGGCAGGCACACAAACGAACCCGTAGCTCAGCCACCCAAAGCAATACTTCCGTGCAGTCTTGGAGTTAGTTCAAAGATTAGTCTTTATTTCATAATGTTTCCAATGAGATGTACTGATATCTAAGTCTCACCACATGTACTGCTTGGTAATTACGCACTTCGTATTGTCATTTTCTGATGGTTAAATCTTACTTTCAGTAGCCCACCTGTCACTCCAAGGCGGACATCCATGTGCTAGTGGACGGGTCCAAGAGCGTGCAGCAGCGTAACTTCCCGTCAGTACGGCAGTTCATCCTGAAGCTTGCGGCGGGGTTCGAGATCGGACCCAGCAAGGCCAGGATCGGCGTGTACCAGTTCGCTAAGGACATACAGACGGAGTTCAAGATGAACCAGTACAACAGCAGAGCGGTGCGTATGTTTTTGACGTCATTTAGTCGTAGAAAATAAGCAGATTTGAGTAAAAGAGCGAGACTGTTCATTGCAACAGATACAGGTTGATTTGTTCTCACCTAGAGCTTGTGACCAGTGACTCTTACACCTGGATGCCAAAACTAGTATCGGGCCGTTAGCCGTTTTCCTTCGGCAGCCGAGAGCCCTTTGCCCGCCTGCCTAAATTAGTGCTACGGGGGAGTTGAGCCCGAGGGGTTTGTCCGGCCCTTAACTATCGTAGGGCC